ACAACACCATCATGGAACCTCAACCGCACACTACCCATGCCTTCAACTTTGAGGTTATGTCCCATGTTGATGTTCCCAAACTCACCTTCTTGTTGTAAGGTGTCAAACATCGCCTTGTCTCGACACACATGTATCGAAGCGGCCGAATCTAATACCCACTTATCATGACTCACACTTTCCTTATCACAATGAGTCAACAACAACTCATCATCATAATCACCACATACAACATTAGAGGAACCACCTTCATCATCCACCTTCGTTTTGTCCATCTTCCCTTGAAACTGCCTCAAGGTCTTCAAATCTTCCTTCACCTTTGGACAATTAAATTGTAGATTACCCTTCTCATGACTATAATATCACTTAACATTGCTATAATCTCTCGGCCGAGATCTTAATCTACTCCTTTGGTCATCTCTCCTTGACTTGTTCCTCCCTCTCTCGGAACCCTCCACAGCTAATGCTTGATCATGGTTGTATGAGGTACCTCCATCAATTTGTATCATCATACTCTCATTCTCCCTCACAATTGTTATTGCTTCATCTAGAGTAATATTCTCCCTTCCTACAAGCAATGTCTGCACAATCGGCCTGTAGAATTTTGGTAGTGAAGCCAATAACAGGAAGGCTTGCTCTTGATCTGGAATTTTCTTATCGGCAATCTGCAACTGGCACACTAACTGTATAAAACTGTTGATGTGGTTTTGCAAATTTGTACCTTTTTCCATTTTCAACTGGTACAACTTCCACCGTAAACACAATTGGTTGGTTAACGACTTTGAAGCATAAATGCTCTACAACTTTCTAACAAGACCTTTGGGTCTTTCTCAATTAGAAAATAATACTTAATCTCCAACGCAATCGCCAACCAAATTGTACTCACCGCCTTCTTCTTCTTGGATGCCCATGCGACATTGTTCAATTTTGCGGGTTTCTCCTTCTCCAAAGCTTCATCCAAATTCTGTTGCACCAACAAGTCTTCAATGGTGCTTTTCCATACCATAAAATTGATTTTCCCATCAAACAAGGAAATTTCAATTTTTGGTCCACTCGTGTCCATCGTACTTCATCAGTTCTTCCCCTACGCGTTGCTCTTCCCCCGACATCAGATTTTCTAACCTCGGCTCTGATACCAGTTGTTGGGAATGGAGCAACAGATAAACACAATATCAGATTAATAATAAAATACGGAACAACAAAAATAACACATAATATTTTACGTGGAAAAACCCCTCCTCAATAAGGGGAAAAACCATGGTTCAGATCTCCATGGACGAAAACAACTTTACTAGCAATACTCGGGAGTACAATGACCACTACTACAATTACAATATTAGATATAATGTATTTTAGAATAGTCTACACTAAATACCCTTTAACGTTGGTACTTATACTAATCCTAAAATACCCCTCACACTAATATTGTGTTTGTCTCTCCTCTGTTCCTCCCTCACTACTAGAGCTATGCTCTACTTCTTTTTGCTAGTATGCTTATACTTCTCTTGCTTACCCAAACTCACAGCACTTGCCTACATTATATAGCAAAATCAATCAAACTTCCTATTCAAGGCTTAATCTTCCACCAACTTGCCAAATAAATGCAAGTATACAAAGTCAAGGTTTTACCTTAAAGCCTTTTGCCACAACTTGGACTTTCAAGTTCCCTAATTTACTACTACTATTACTCCACCGTCCAACTACAACTACATGCATGCATTCCTTTTTTTTTTTTTTTTTTTTTTTCTTTCTTACACCATTATTATTATTACTACTAATAATAATACTATCTAACTAATTGTGATTTGGGGAGATTAACCCAACATACTACTTGGAGAGTCACCTTTTCGGTTGCAATGTGGCATCTATGGAAAGCTTGAAACTATACAGTCTTCCAGCTAGCTATCTATCACCCAATCACTTTGTTTAACAAGTATAAGTTGGATTTGGATGAAACTTTTAACGTTGTTCAGGGAAAAGGGAGAATTCCTGTTGTGCTAATCCGTGAGACTAGGTGGCAAATACCTAAAGCTAATTGAAAAAAAAAGTAACTCCAAATGTATTAAATACTTTCTCCGTTCTTTTTTACTTGACCTGCTTTGACTTTTACACTATTCACCACCCCTCCTTTGATCGTGTTTTGTGAATAATATGTAAGGAAAAACATATTTATGTTGGATCATTTTGAATTCGTCTCAATAAGTACTATCATAATATATAACTTTTATATTTTTTAATTATGGAGAATTAATGTTATAAAAGAAACAGAGGAAGTAAAAAAGAACAGAGGAAGTAATAGATATGTTGTGGGAGAGGAAGAGAAGGATTTGTGACCGATAATGACAAATTACCAACAATATTTAGAACAATAAGATTTAGGATAATTTGTTCAAAACCATCTTATAAAAACCAAATTTTGTTGAAAACCATCTTATAATTTTTTTTTTTTATCAAAGCACACCTGTTTTAAATTTTATTTTGTTGAATCCCACCACTTTTCGGATTTTGACTATTGATTGACATTTCTAGCGTTGATTAGCATGTGCACCTCACGTGACCCACTTAACCCCACTTTTCTATTATTTCCACCCTCCCTTTTCCCTCCATTCATTCCCCCTTCGTTACTTACAATTCTATGCAATTGCATAAAAGGCTATAAAAACCAAATTGTGATGAAGAGGAGTGATAAAGAGGGGAATGAATAGAGGGAAAAGGGGCAAAAAAATAAAAGAAAACTGGGGTTAAGTGGGTCACGTGAGGTGCACATGTTAGTCAACGTCGGAAATGTAAGTAATTAGTCGATATCCGGGGGAATGGTGGGACTTTACCTACAAAAAAAAAAAAAAATAGATGTGCTTGCTTTGACAAAAAAAAAACTTTAAAATAGGTGAACTTTGAGAAAAAAAAATAAAAATAAAAAATTATAAGATGGTTTTCAACAAAATTTGATTTTTATAAGATGGTTTTCAACAAACTTTTCTAAGATTTAACAATTTACCTAGTGAGAACTAATTAAGAAAGTAGGATTCGAGGGTTGAAGTTAATAAATTAAAAATAATTTCAACAAGTTACCTAGTGAGAACTAAAAACACGAAGTAAGGTTTAAGGTGAGCATAGGTTAGTTTTACCTTCTCCGGAAGCATGTTCAAAGCCGAAGGGAGGTTATTTTAAAAAAACATATGCCTTACGAAGATGAAGTTTACAAGTTTTAATTCCCCTTGTTTTATTTTATGTTGCTTAGTGTATGTTGTAAACACTTTTTAATTAATGTCTATTTTGCTGTTGTCAAAAAAAATATATAAATAAATAAATAAAAATGTTAAATTTTTTTTTTTTAAAAAAAGAATAGGAAGGTAGGATTTGAGCCTTTGAGGGATGAAGTTAATTTAATAAATAAAAAAATTAAAATAAGGATGAAGTTAATTAATAAATAAAAATAATAATAAATGTTTCTCGTGGGTATCAAACCCAAGCTCTTTGAAAAATAATAATGCTTCTACCAATACAACGTTGTGCTCTTATTTGTAACGTATGCATTGTTAAATCATTATACTAGTATATTTAAACCTTTACTTAATAAGTCTTGAAATAAAAAGAAAGGAAAAAACAAAGGAATTGATGCTTGTGGGTATCAAACTCATGTCTTTTATCTAGAGATACAAAGGGCATGTTCGGCAAAATATAACTGTGAAGGTAGCTGTAGCGGTGAAGGTAGCTGTGAGTTGTGTATGTAGCTGTTAGCTATCAACAAGCTGTTAGCTGTGAAGATAAATAATTTAGATATGAGTGTTCAGTAAAGTAGCGGTTGACTAGTTGTTACATATAAAAATCAACATTTTATTTTTAAAACTATAGATTAAATTTTCAACAGTTACCTCAAGAGCTACATCCAATTTCAAAAGCTAATCTTTCTAACTTATCATAAAAGCTACCTCCACCACTAAAAGCTACCCTAACCACTATTTTACCGAACACTCATATTTTTTGTCAAGTAGTGATTTGACTTGGTCAAACCACTAAAGGCTATCTAAAAACTACTCAAAAGCTAGCGCAAAACACGCCCTAAGGCGATAAGGCCTCAAGCCTCAACCACTAGACTAGTAATAGAATATGGTTATTAGTTGCAATGTTTGATATTTTAAAGCTCTTTTTATTTTTGCAGGGTCATATGACCCACTATGCACAAGGGTGGGTCCGCCACTAAGGTCAAGTAATACAAAAATAGAGGAAGTAATATTTAACAATTAAACACAATAATCATCTAAAATTATGTGTCACATCAGTGTTATAAAATATAAATACAATAATTTTTTTTATAAGGTAAGGAGAACGATCCTAACCGATTTTTTTTTTTATAAGGTAAGGAGAACGATCCTAGCCATAACTCAACCTTCACAGTTTTAATTTGTGGTATTTGCGAGTTAGACACTTTGACAGTAAGGGGGAAGGGAAGGGATCCCCACCTTAGCTTTCACAATTAAATTTAGCTTTCACGCACGACCATAGCCCTACAATTAGAGGTGTCAAGTCGAATATCCGGGTCAGGTTAGGTAGAGCCAGATTGGGTTTGATTTCAAACTTGAGTCATGTTAAATTATGTGTCCATGGCCGGCTTTAATTTCAAACTTGAATCATGTTAAATTATTGTATCCATATAAGTCGAAATATGAATCGGTTTCAAATCAAATAGGTCAAATCAGATTTTAACAGGTCTATAGCTCTACCTGCATTTCCACAAGTTTTACGTACTGTATCCTACAACTAGTTGGTATAATTTTCTTATAAAGACAACAAGAATAATTATTCCACTTCCATGCCACGTACAAAAATTCTAAGCAGACAAATTATCATGGCCCTAGTAGTCAAATTTGATGGTTGAGTAGAAAATTTAATCTTAAAGACGCAATTAGTAACCAAAAGTCTACCTTTTAATCTTTATAAATCCGATTAAAATAATGGTAAAAAACATTATAATCAAATCATAGATAGCAAAAGATTTTGTAATGGAAGGAAAAATAATAAACCTAGTAGGATCGAAATTAGTACCTAGTGTTCAAGAACTAGCAAAAGATTGTCCTAAGGAAATCCCAGAAAGATACATACGAAATGATCAAGATCCTCCATTAGCAGCTGACGATGAAAATCTTCAATTGCCAACTATTAATATGGAAGCTTTGATTAGTGGAGATGGAGTTGAGCTTGAGAAGTTGCATTCAGCATGCCAAGAGTGGGGCTTTTTCCAGGTTAATTACGCTATAATCCTCTTGTTTTGCCTTCATTATTAGTTGCTAACTAGCCTTCTGGCCCGTGCGATGCACGGGTTATTCATATAAAATTGCATTGATAGATAAGTGAGGAAATATCAGTAAGTCATTATAGAGTATAATATGTAATCGGAAACATGATTACAGAAATTAAAATTTTGGAACTTTAATCGAAAAAGAGGCTTAAATATGTGAGATAAAAGTTAATTGTGCAATGTATAAACTATATTTAGATAAGTAAAATTAAGAAAAACTAATAATAAAATAGTAAAACCTAAATAAAATGTAAAGCATATAATGCTCCTAAATTTTCTATCACTATTTATTTAGGATGAGTTTTTCCTATATAAACTGTAATTGATATCATTTTCAATATAAGAGAATATAATAAAAGAAAACATATTCTTCGGTATTATTTCATTTTCAAGAATAAATATAAGTAGGTGCGGCAGCTCTACTCGTTTCTCATATAGTTTATAAATATTACTTATTAATCTGATCCAATCACCCATTATACTTCCGCTGTCTCCAACAAATTTGGTATCAGAGCCGGAATAATTATATCATGGCTTCCAGTACATCTACACCATTTTTCTCTTATTCCCAACCGACACTTCCTATCTTTGATGGAGAACATTATGACTATTGGAGTAGTCAAATGCAAACATTCTTTATATCCCAAGATTTATGGGAGCTCGTGGAAGGAGGCTATGAAGACCTTCCAGAAAATCCTAATGAAGCACAACAAAAACTACACAAGGAAAACAAGAAAAAAGATGCACTTGCTTTACGATATATTCATGCAGCCGTGAGTAAAACTATATTTCCCCGCTTATATGGATTGAAAAAATCCAAAGAAGCTTGGGATACATTAAAACAAGGATTTCTAGGAAATGAAAAAGTTGCTGTTAGATTACAAAATCTATGGAGAGATTTTGATAACCTGGAAATGCAAAAGACAGAAAATATCCAAGTTTATTTTTCACGAGTCACGGAAATAGTTAATCAAATAAGAAGTCTCGGTGATACATTAGAAGAAAAAAGAGTTGTTCGAAAAGTATTAAGAAGTATGACAGAAAAATATAATTCTGCCACATTTATAATAGAAGAGTCTAAGGACTTGTCAACTCTCACAATGCATGAGTTGATGGGATCTTTGGAATCACATGATCAAAAATTGAAAAGAAATACAAATACCGATCAACTTGTAGATCAAGCGTTTCAATCCCAACTTAACATATCAAACAAACAATATCAAGGAGAGTCAGAGAAAAGAGGGGGAAACCAAAGAGGACATCAATATGGTAGAGGCCGTGGTACCCAAAATTTTAGCCGTGGCCGAGGACAAAGTAGAGGAAGAGGTCGCGGACAATATCAAAATTATCAACAAAGGTCAAATAATTCTTGTCGTATTTGTGGTAAGTCTAACCATCAATCATCTGAATGTTATTTTAAATGTAAGAGATGTCGTAATTCAAATCATTCTCAAAAAGATTGTTGGCATCAAAATGGAAATAATACAAATGAAGCGAATTTCACCGCTAACGCTGAAGGTGAACAATTATTTCTTACGTGCATGGATGCACAAAATAAGTCTAGCAATTTATGGTTTCTCGATAGTGGTTGTAGCAACCACATGACAGGAAATAAGGACATGTTCATCAAGTTAGATATGGGTGTAGCAAATCAAGTCACCTTAGGTGATGGAAAAAAGGCAAACGTCGAAGGACGAGGAGTCATTGCTGTTAATAGCAAAGCAAATAACACAAAATACATACATGATGTTCTTTATGTGCCTAATCTGACACATAATCTCCTAAGTGTTGGGAAACTTGTTCAACGAGGATATTCAGCAAATTTTGACAATGGAGAATGCATTGTTACGGACAAAAAATCTGGTACTATATTGGCGAAAGTACAAATGGCTGATAATAAAGTTTTCCCGCTTCATATGCCACAAAAGAAGTTGGCATTGCAAGCAAATGTTATGGATGAATCTTATCTATGGCACTTACGATATGGACATTTGAACCAAAAAGGATTACAATTATTGAAACAAAAAGACATGGTCGTGGGATTACCACACATTGATAGAAATATTCAAGTTTGTGAAGGATGTATATATGGAAAAATGCATCATCTTCCATTCCCAAAAACTTCGTGGAGAGCTAAAGCTCCTCTTGAATTAGTACATGCAGATATATTTGGCCCCACAAGAAATCCTTCTCTACAGAATAAGAGGTATTTTCTATTATTTGTCGATGATTACACTCGTATGATGTGGATATATTTTATTGATCAAAAGTCAAATGCTTTCAATGTATTTGTCCAATTTAAAGCATTAGTTGAAAGACAAAGTGGTTATATGATAAAGACATTGTTTATATAACCCTTTTATGGAGCATTGTAGAAATGAAGGAATAAAAAGACAATTGACAGTCTCACGAACACCTCAGCAGAATGGTGTAGCAGAGAGAAAGAATCGCACAATTGTAGAAATGGCAAGAAGCATGATGGAAGAAAAGACTCTTCCTAAAACATTATGGGCTGAAGCTGTAAATACAGCTATTTACATACTCATCCGTTCACCAACTAAAGCAGTTAGTAACAAGACTCCTTATGAAGCTTGGAATGGTAGAAAACCGGTTGTTATTTAAAAGTTTTTGGATGTATTGCATATGCCTTAAACAAAGATCAAGGTAAAGACAAGTTCGATCCCAAAGGGAGAAAGTATCTTTTTGTGGGATATAGTGATGAATCAAAAGGCTATCGTCTCTTAGACCCACAAGCTAAGAAGCTAATAGTCTCCAGAGATGTTATATTTGAAGAATCGCCAAAATGGAAATGGGATGATGAAATAGTTCATTTTCCTGTGCAAGAAGAAGCTATAAATTCTCGTAACCCAGCTCCAACAACAATAAATAATGAAGCAAACAGTCCGCATAGATCTCCTAATAATGTGTCAAATACACAAACACAAGAAACCTCATCTTCTCCAGTTTTAAATCAACCAGGAAGAATTAGAAAAAGGCCTTCTTATTTGGATGATTACGAGTGCTATTTATCTAAAGCAAATGACACGGAAACATTAGCTTTATTTGCAAGTGAGCCTTCTAGCTATAAAGAAGCATCAAATGACGATGTTTGGATAAAAGCAATGGATGAAGAAATTGCTATGATTGAGAAAAACAAGACATGGGAGCTTGTTGATTACCCTGAAGGTAAAGATATTATTGGTCTAAAATGGGTTTATAAAACAAAACTAGACCAAGACGGAAATATTCAAAAACACAAAGCAAGGCTTGTTGTCAAAGGATATGCTCAAAAATCCGTAGTTGATTTTAATGAAACATTTGCTCCAGTAGCTCGTATTGAAACCATTAGGACAGTGTTAGCCATAGCTGCACAGAAAGAATTATATGTTTATCAGCTTGATGTGAAATCCGCATTTCTGAATGGTGTATTAGAAGAAGAAGTGTACGTGGAGCAACCACAAGGTTATGAAATTAAAGTTTATCGTTTGCATAAAGCGCTCTATGGGATTAAGCAAGCGCCAAGAGCTTGGAATAGTAGAATTGACAAATATTTTATGAATAACGGATTCAAAAAGAGTCCAAGTGAACCATCACTTTACATTAAAGAAAACAATGATGGGCATTTTCTCATTGTTTGTCTTTATGTTGATGATCTAATCTACACTGGAAATGATATGAAACTCATTAATGAGTTCAAAGAGTCTATGATGCAAGAATTTGAAATGACAGACTTAGGACTCATGAAATACTTTCTTGGAATTCAAGTTACGCAAACCAAGGGAGAAATTTTCTTTAATCAAGAAAAATATACTGTGGATCTCCTAAAGAAATTTCATATGGAAAATTGCAAACCAGTGAATACTCCTATGGCATTGAATGAAAAATTAAGTCAAGATGATGGAGCTAGTAAGGTCGATGGTAATGTGTACAGAAGTTTGGTAGGTTCTTTACTATACTTAACTCATACAAGACCTGACATAGCTCAAGCAGTGAATATGGTATCAAGATTTATGAATAATCCTAGCAAATTACATTTTTCTGCCGCAAAAAGGATATTACGATATCTTCAAGGTACTTAGAAAGTAGGTCTAAGATACCAGAGTGAAGTTGATAAAGAATTGATTGGTTATACTGACAGTGATTGGGTTGGTTCCATTGATGATCGTAAGAGTACATCAGCCTACATTTTCTGTTTAGGCACTAAGATAATATCATGGAATTCAAAGAAACAACAAACAGTAGCACTTTCTTCTGCAGAAGCAGAATACATGTCTGCTACTGAAGCAGCATGTGAAACAGTTTGGGTACGAAGAATTTTAAAAGACTTGGGTCTTCAGCAAGAAAGCCCCACGATGATATTTTGTGACAATATGTCTACTATCGCTATGACAAAGAATCCAGTGTTTCATGCTAGAAGTAAACACATTGAGATTCGACATCATTTTATACGTGAATTAGTCAATGAAGAAGAAATACAGCTCGAGTTCATCAACACTAATGATCAGCCAGCAGATATGCTTACCAAAGCTATAACAACAGAAAAGTTCGAGAAATTTAAAACATTATTAAACATTGCAAATTAAGAGGGGGAATTTGTGAGATAAAAGTTAATTGTGCAATGTATAAACTATATTAAGATAAGTAAAATTAAGAAAAACTAATAATAAAATAGTAAAACCTAAATAAAATGTAAAGCATATAATGCTCCTAAATTTTCTATCACTATTTATTTAGGATGAGTTTTTCCTATATAAACTGTAATTGATATCATTTTCAATATAAGAGAATATAATAAAAGAAAACATATTCTTCGGTATTATTTCATTTTCAAGAATAAATATAAGTAGGTGCGGCAGCTCTACTCGTTTCTCATATAGTTTATAAATATTACTTATTAATCTGATCCAATCACCCATTATACTTACGCTGTCTCCAACAAAATAGAAGATGGAAGTGCTAAATTTAAAGAGAGATTAGGAAAAAGGTTGAATTAAAGGGGAGAGATGAAGATGAAGAGATGAAGTGTGTATGAAAGATGAATTATAAATCTAATGAAAGAATTAAAAAAAAATTGGTGTAATAAAAAATTAATAGTGTAAGATGACATGTGACACTATGGTAGAGGAGTGTAATAAAATGGATGGGGACATGTGTCTTTCTTAGTTTCTTAGTTATAGTTTTTAAATATTAAAGTATAGAAGTATAGATTCGTGTACATTATTGGGACACATTTGACACGCTTGTCCATCCTAACTTTAATTGTTTTGATTATGCATGTTTGCCAATGGACATATTTTTTCAATAACTCTAATTGTATACTCTGTGCTATAACTTTTGTAATGGGTGCAGCGTGTTTCATTTATTTTTATTTCTAATTGTTAGAACAACACCAAATGTAAACAATAAGGTCTTCAATGTCATTTATGACACCCGGTGCACCCCTTAGCAAATTTCGGTGTTGTTTTAAGTTTTAACTAGTGCTCATAGGTGGTGTTTGTTGCTTAGTTAACCCAAACTATAGTTGATATTGTTGTCTTATTTTGGTATTAAAATAGTTATTGACTTATTGTTTATGTATTATATATATATATATTTCCTTCGTATTGTAATAAGTGTTACACTTACTAAACGTGGCCGTGTTTTAAAGTAATAAGTGTTACATTTTATTTTATGACAAAAATCTAAATTTTGATATTATATTTTTCTTTTTTCATGGTTCTCACATAAATCCACCACTACTTTTTTTTTTTTATTATTATTATTTATTTCCTTTTACATTCATTATTTTTCAATAAATTATTAGCCTCACTATCTTTCTTTTACAATTAGTAAAATACTCTCTATTTTATTTAAGTCAATTAAATTTCCTAAAACTATATGACGGTCAACAATTATTAAAATACGAAGAGAGTATTAATAATATAGTAATATAATAATATTGGGTAGTTAACTAGTTTGTGATAATGTGCAGCTTATAAACCATGGGATAAGTTCTTCACTGTTGAAAAAAGTCAAACAAGAGACACAAGAATTTTTCAACCTTCCACTAGAAGAAAAGAGAAAATACTGGCAAACTCCAACAGACGCAGAAGGATTTGGACAAGCCTTTGTTAAATCAGATGACCAAAAGTTGGATTGGGCCGACATGTTTTTCTTAACAACCTTGCCTAAACATTTGCGTCGACCCAATTCGTTTCCCATGCTACCTCTTCCATTCAGGTTCGCCTTCTACTACGTCCTCCACATTGGTCATAATTTGGAGAGAGTATAGGTTAATATTCATGATAAATGAAAAAGGTTTTTATCTCGACATTTCTGTAAATAAGTCAACAACTTTCTACAAACGTCAGGCTTACAAATGTTTAGTTACGAAAAGTCATGCTAGATAGGATATTTTATTGATTTATTAACAGAAATGCCAATAAATTAGCTTTTTTTGTTTATTACGATGATTAAATGGGGGCTCCATCCCTCGTTTTATACCAAGTATTCCCTTCCTTTCAATATTTCGTAACATATACATATACAAGTGTTGGAAATAAAGAAAGGAAATTCAAAGGGTCAGATATGGGCGGGCGCCCGATCGGGCGCGAGAAGAGTCGTAAAATTCTTGAGCCCCGTTGCCAGATCGGGCGAGCTCCGCCCGATCGGGCGCTAGAAGAGTCGTAAAATTCTGGAGTTCCGCCGCCCGACCGGGCGAGCCCCGCCCGATCGGGCGCGAGAAGACGTCTGAAAAAAAAGTGTTCGCCCAATCGGGCGAGCTCTGCCCGATCGGGTGCGTGTTTGTCCCTTGGACTCCAACGGATCCCTTAGATTCCTCTTCTAGTTTGATTTCTTGTAACCCCCCATTTAAGAGGTTGATTATGGTGTTTTAACCACCATAATAATTCTGATTTCATTCTTCTTGTTCAAGAATATTCTCTCTATGATCTTTTCATCTACCTCAATCTCTATTATAAAATAGAGAATAATTTTTTGATTTCATACACTTGAAAATACATTCAAACACAATAGCTTAAACACATCTCTCTTTGGGCATAAGATACTTGACTTCAACCTTCCACCCAAAAGTGTCTTTGTGTGAAAGAGGTGTGTTAACCTCAGGGAACGTGCCGGCGAATACAATTGAGCACCATGGTTGCGCCGGAATTTCGTTTTCAAGTCAGTGATTTGCATTACGACACACCATTTGTTCGTTTGTGTTGTGAGATCAATTTTTCGGTCTTACTTGTTATTTCTTTATACTATTACTATAGATTTCTTCTATATTTACAACAATAAGTTGTCCATAAAATCGTTTGGTCATAACATTTTTTATATTGTAAGGAGGACTTCATTCTTTCACTTTTAATTACAATATTTTGACTTCTATACTTGTCAATTCATAATTTAAATGATTTATTTCTCTAATCATATATAATATATGTTACCCCCTCTGTGTTTAAATAAATGAAACAATTTGACTTTTGTACTATTCATCTAATTCACTTTGACTAATTTTTGTGCTTTATAAATAAGAATTAATATAGTCTTGTGGTTACGTACTTGTTGGAATCTTCCCAACAAATAGTTTATTAATATATTATAATTTTTACTTATTTATAATAAAAGATATTATCAGTCAAAGTATTATAATTGCATAAGCTAAGTGCACAAAGAAAACGTTTTATTTATTCAAACATGGAGGGAGTATAAAATTCGCATATAAGTTTATAGCAAGTTTAGCCCAAGTCTTAAGACTTGGATGTGACACCATTTTTTGTGGTCTCCATTGAAAATGATATCATTTAATTCTTGTTAAGAGTCACTAAGACTTGCACAAATTTATCACTTTAGCCCTAAGACTCAAATATATGACATATTATGTAGAAAAGTGTAAAAATAAATAAATAAATAAAAGGATAATAAAAATAAAAGTGAGGTGGTTGCAATCTCAAATCTTAAGTTGAGTTTTGAAATTTTAAGACTCAAATTGAGACTTGTTTGAGATTTAAGAAGAAAAATGGGAAAAGTCTTAAGCATAAGTCTTAAGACTCAAAATGATGATGTCACCCCAAGTCTTAAGATTTGGGGTTCGTACCGAGTCTTAGATTTGGGACTAAACTTGCTCAATATTTAAGATCATAAGAAACACTATGTAACAAAATAGTTGGAGTCCTTATTTTTTAATAACTACTATAGGAAATAGGGGTTCGACCTTAAAGTCTTAGACTACAAACTGAAATTATTTACATCATACTGTACTTTATTTCTTGGCTTTTAAAAATGTAATTCAATAGTAACATATGAAAATAATCCTCATGCAGAGACGCATTGGAAAATTACTCAACCGAGGTTGATAAACTCTCAAGGAAAATCTTAGATTTTATGGCAAAGGCTCTAAATTTTGATAATGATGGCAATGTGTTTGGAGAAATTTCTCAAGCAATGAGGATGAACTATTATCCACCGTGTTCTCAATCGGAAAAGGTCATTGGCATTGTGCCTCATACTGATGCAACAGCCCTTATCACTATCCTCCTACAGCTTAACGAAATCGAAGGCCTCCAAATCAACAAAGATAACAAATGGATCGCAGTTGACCCCCCACCCGATGCCTTTATAGTCAATATTGGTGACATTTTGGAGGTAAGTACGCAATCCATTTTCTCAATGTAAATCCCTGTTTTAACAATAGAGAAAAATTGATATTAATAACCCCAATTTTGCTCTATTTTCTTTAAATAATTTCAACTCTGGAATAATCCTAATTTTTTGGAGTGTTTTCTTTCTTTAATTGCAATGACCGGTTACCTATTAAATGTTTTTTTTTTATTCTTAATAGCACGTGTCGCAAATTATTTGGTTAAAAAATTTTAAAACAAAATTAAGGATCTATTCTCTTCAACTTATTTTCAGTTTAGTTCAACTCCAATAGTTCGGTTCAACGATTAGTTCTTAATTTTCTTCTCTCACAAAATATTCAGTTAAGTTCATTAGTTTAGTTCATTTTAACTCAGTTCAGTTAATCAAAACAAGCCTTAAATATAAAACACCATCCAAACACTAAATCCCGGCAAACCCAACCTTGACGTAAGCTAGCTCCCCCCCCATCCTTCTCTTCCCTTGCGCCGCTATTCCCCCTCCCCTATGTCGGTTTCCTTCCTCCTCCTGTGCTGATCATCCGAACCCCCCCCCCCTTACCACCCTCCTCCTCTCCTTTTTCGACTCTCCCCCAACATCGAATCTCCTTTAAAACACTCGAACTCCCTTAAAATCACCTCCCCCACTCTCGAAACCCCCAAACACCCCTTCCCCATCGAAAACCCTAGCTGATAGGGTTTTGGGGTGGGAGGAAGGGCGATTTGGTTTTTTTTTTTTTTTTTTTTTTTTTTTTTTTTTGAGTGAAGGATGGGTTTGCTTGGTGGTCACGTGGTGGAATAGGAGGGAGTTTTAGGGAGAGGGAAAATCGGCTACGCTAGGGTGGGAGAGGGGCGGCGAGCTGGGCAATAGTGGTGGGGTTAAGGTGGGCCAGTGGGGGAAGGGGCTGGTACTTTATGATTTATTTTTATTTTTTTAATAATTTTTTCCAATCAGGCTAAAATTGACATGTTTCATGCATGTAACTTGATATAATAGGTCATTGATATGATTTGTTGACCAGTTTAGGATTGAAGAAATATAACACTCCCAAAATTTGAATTATTTCAGAATAATTCAAAGTTGGAATTATTAAAAGAAAACAGAACAAAGTTAAGATTATTAATATCAATTTTTCGTTTAAAAAAAAAAGAAAGAAAAAGTTTGTTCAGTAAGAACATGTAACTTTAAAATAAGAAATATAAAAGGGAATCAATAAAAATAATTTAATTTCAATAAAAATAATTTCGATTTAATAAAAAAAAGGTGAACAAAATTGAACTAAATCTCTAGCTGGTTTTTTTTTCTTTCTTTTTTTTTTGACAAAATATATATACGGTTTAATCCTTCTACTTGTATCATGTAGATAATGAGCAATGGGATGTACCGAAGTGTTATGCATCGAGCTGTGGTGAATGCAACTAAAGAGAGGTTATCAATTGCCACATTTGTTTCCCCTTCACTTGATCGTGAAATAGGCCCCAACCCTAGATTAATAAACTCGATCAATCGTGCAAAGTTTAAAAGAATCAGCATGAAAGATTACTGGAAGGGATTTGTTGATCGTCCGTTGGATGGAAGAAGATACCTTGATGGTGTTAGAATAGTTGATGATGATGCATGAGCATTCATCAAGATGCAACTAGTCAAAAGAAAATTTAACCTTGCTTAATTTGTTGGCATTATTCATGATCACCAATTTATCATAATGTTATTGTAAAATGCCTTCTTACATGATCTTCCTTGTAACAAAAAGTGCGCTTGACGTTTTATTTTCTAATGTATAAATTGATGTATTTATGTAATATATTTATAAAAATAAAATAAAAAATATGTATTACTAGTTAATATTTTGGGAGAAAAAAGGAACGTTGGTAATCACATTCTTCTGTAGAATTTATACTGTTAAGATATTTGTATTTGTTGTTGCTGACTAGGACAAGTTTGTTACATTATTCTAGCTGTAATATCTTGTATATATGTTGCTCCTCTCATCAATGAAAACTTAACTTTATCTCCAATATTTCTTCCTCTTCTTCTCTCTATATTTCTCTCTGTTTTTCTCTCTAGAATCTAGGTTTCTATCATGGTATCAGAGCTGCAAGGTGATTTTGCGGCGATTTCTTGATGATTTCTGCATAATTTGCAGATTTTCCTTTCTTTTCTCTTCATAATCTTCTGATTCTTCCTGATTTTGATTCTTGATTTCTTGATTTTCTTGAATTTTCGGATTAATTTTGATCGATTCAGTACGATTTTTTCAATTCCTTGAATTCTTCGATAATGGCGGCTTCTACAGAAAATCAATATCAGAATTCGAATAGCGTTAAGTTCGATGATCCTTACTATCTCTCTAATGGAGATCATCCAGGCATGCAGCTTGGAAATCACATTCTTACTGGTTCGAACTTCCTGAATTGGAGTCGCACTGTTCGTATGGCTCTAATTGCTAGGAATAAGCTGCAATTTGTGGATGGAAGTCTTCCTTCTCCTGGTGTTGATTCACCTGACTACCAAAAATGGTTGCGTAATGATTACATGGTAATGTCCTGGATCTTGAACTCAATTGATAAAAATTTAGTTGAGAGTTTTATGTTTGTGAATTCTTCACATGGTTTGTGGAAGGAGATTTCTGAACGATTTGGTCAATCGAATGCACCTCAATTGTTTGAGTTGCATCGCAATTTGATTTATACTAATCAGAATAATGATAGTATTGCAGAATATTATGGAAAATTGAAGAGTGTTTGGGATCAATTGCATGTTATTGAAGGATTTCCTGATTGTACTTGTGGTGCCTTGGCGAGTTGTAGTTGTGGTATTCTGAAGAAGTTATTGGAGATGGAACAGCGAAAGAAATTGATTCAATTACTTTCTGGATTGAACAGAAATTATGATCAGGTTACCATAAATTTGTTGAGTGTTGATCCTTTACCAAATGTCAATAAGGCATATCATACATTACAACAAATTGAGCAGCAAAATAGGTTGAATCAGTTCAGCTCTTCTTCACATGAAATTAGTGCGTTTCATGTTGCTTCTGGTAATATTGCTCCTACTCCTAAGGTTTTTCCTAAACCTAATTTTCAGTATAAGAAGGATTTTAAGAGAGCAAAATCTGAGTTGACTTGTGAACATTGTAAGAAGCGAGATCATACTGTTGATCAATGCTTCAAGTTGTACGGTGTTCCTGATTGGTTTACTACTTTGAAGAACAAAGGTTCTGCAAGGGTTGCTGGTAATGTTAGCGGTTCTGGTGCTATCTCCTCTGGTAGTGCTTCTTGTAATTCAGCTGATCCTGTTGCTATGACGAATTTATACAATCAATTTTACAAGATGATGCAGCAGAATTCAGACAATCCTCTATCCTCAGCGGTCAATTTTGCAGGTATTGTTGTTGCATCTAATGTTGAGTTATTGGATGAAGTGTTTCATAAAGATGCTTGGATAGTTGATACTGGTGCTAGTGACCATATGGCTGGTAATATTGATTTGTTTGCTTCATTGACTTCCTTACAAAATCCAATTAAGATTAAATTGCCTGATGGAACTATTACCTCTGTTTTGTATGCTGGTTCAGTCATTTTGACTCCTGAAATCTCAATTTCTGATGTCTTATTTGTTCCTACTTTTAAACACAATCTTCTGTCTGTAGGAAAAATGTTAGATCAACATCAATTGCATTCTCATTTTACAAATGATTCATGCTTGTTTCAGGACCCTGTAACTAGAGCTGTCAGAGCTATTGGCACAAGACATTCTGGTCTTTACAAGTTCACTTATGTTTGTCAGCCTTCTTCTTCTTCTTCTTCTTGCTTACCTACATCTAGTTCACATTCTGAATCTACTAATGCTGTTAAGTCTGTGAATAATATTTTGACTAAGCATGTTAATCCTAGCGTGGATGTGATTCATGCTAGACTTGGTCATATTTATACTATCAAATTGAAACATGTAATAGTTCCTTTGACAGGCAATAATAATTGTGATTTTAGTTGTGAAGCATGTGTTCTTGGTAAACACCATAAACTTCCTTTTCCTATCTCTATTTCTATGACTGTTAGTCAGTTTGATTTAGTTCATGTTGATCTTTGGGGCAAGTACAGGAGGCCTTCTTTGTCTGGGGCTTCTTATTTTTTGACTGTTTTGGATGATCATACTAGAATCACATGGACATATTTGCTTCATGAGAAAACTCAGGTGTTTGGAATTTTGTCTGATTTTATTGGTTATGTAAGTACTCAATTTGGTGCTAAGATCAAAATGATTAGAAGTGATAATGGGACAGAATTTATTCAAGAATCTTGTGCTAAGTTATTTTCTGAGAATGGTATACTTCACCAAAGGAGTATTCCAGGCAATCCTCAGCAAAATGGCAGGGTAGAAAGAAAACATAGGCACTTGTTAGAGACAGCTAGAACTATGAGGTTACATGCTGGTTTACCTCTCAAATTTTGGGGTGAATGTTTGTTGGCTGCTACCTTTTTGATTAATATCCTTCCTAGTTCTGTTCTCAATTGGAAAACACCACATGAAGTTTTATTTGGAAAAGTTCCTGAGTATTCTCATTTAAGGGTTCTAGGTTGTCTGTGTTATGCTGCTCAGAAGCTTGGTGATAAATTTGATGCTAGAGCTAAGAGATGTGTATTTGTTGGGTATCCTTTTGGTCAGAAGGGTTACAAGTTGTATGACCTATCTACTCATAAGATCATTTTGAGTAGAGATGTGGTTTTTGTGGAAACTAGTTTTCCTTTTAAGGTTGGCTCAATTTCTGATCAGCAATCTCCTAGTGGTATTAGTCTGGATATGGTGAATCCTGCTTTAGATCATGCAGATTTGGTTCATTTAATGCCAAATTCATCTTCTGATCCCATTTCTTCAGACACTTCTACTTCTTTTCATTCTTCTGCTCATCACTCTTCTCCTATTCATCATTTCTTTAACTCTGAAAATGAACATTCTGAGTCTCAGGGATCTACTGAAATTCTTGAGACTGGTTCTGTGTCTCCACCTGTTCTAAGGCATTCTTCTAGGCCTAGATCAATCCCTAGGAAATTTGATAATTTCCAGGTAACTATTCCTGGTATTTCTACCAATTCTGATAGTGTTAGTCAATCCTTCAATGTGTATACTGAGCCCTCTTTGTTAGCCATGGATGTTGATACTAAGCTTAACTTGATCAAGGTGTTGAATGCTTTTGAACCAAGTTCTTATTCTCAGGCCAAGGATCACCTAGAGTGGGTGAAGGCTATGGATAGAGAGATTGAGGCAATGGAGAAAACTGGTACTTGGGAATTATCATATTTGCCACCTGGGAAAAAGGCCATAGGTTCTAAGTGGGTCTATAAGACAAAATTTAGGCCTGATGGTACAGTTGAAAGATGCAAGGGAAGGATTGTGGCTCGAGGTGACAAACAGATGAAAGATAAGGACTATAAACATACATTTAGTCATGTTGCTAAATTTACCACTGTCAGAACAGTTATTGCTTTGGCTGCAACTTATAATTGGGATATTCAACAAGTTGATGTGAATAATGCTTTCTTTCATGGTTATCTTGATGAAGAGGTTTATATGATACCTCCTCCGGGCTATACAAAGGCCCTTCCTGGTCAGGTTTGCAGATTAAAAAAGTCCATTTATGGTTTGAAGCAGGCTTCTAGGTGCTGGAATAAGGAATTGAGCAGATTCTTGATTGATTTTGGTTATTCACAGTCAAAACAAGATTACTCTATGTTCATAAAGAAAGATAAGAAATCTTTTACTCTAGTGGTGGTTTATGTGGATGATTTACTCATCACTGGAAATGATTCAAGTGCTATTTCTATTCTGAAGTCTGCTCTACATGATGCTTTTACTATTAAAGATTTGGGAAGTCTCAAATATTTTTTAGGAATTGAAGTTTCTAGATCTAATTCAGGTATACTTTTGAATCAAAGAAAGTACATTCTGGATATGCTCAGGGATGCTCATATGGAATCATGTAATCCTGCTTCTTTTCCTCTTCCCAAAGATCTTAAGCTGAGTGATTTTGAAGGAGATGAACTTTCTGGTCCTGAAATTTTTAGGAAAATCATTGGTAAGCTGTTGTATGTCACTCTCACTAGACCTGATATTAGTTACTCAGTACAACAACTCAGTCAGTTTTTGCATAAACCAAAAGTTCCTCATTTGAATGTTGTTGTTCATATACTGAGATACTTAAAGGGTACTGTTAATATGGGGCTGTTTTATGCTGCTCAGAATGACTTGACTCTTACTACTTATAGTGATGCTGACTGGGGAACATGTACAAATTCAGGAAAGTCTTTTTCTGGTTATTGTGTTTTCTTAAGACAGACTCTCATATCCTGGAAAACGAAGAAACAAAAGGTTGTTTCCAAGAGCTCTACTGAAGCTGAGTATGGAAGTATGAGCTACACAACTAATGAGGTTATTTAGTTGGAAGGTCTGCTTTCTGAGTTAGGCATTCATGTTCCAACTCCAATACCTCTATGTTGTGACAATGTTTCTGCACAACATCTTGCAGAAAATCCTGTTTTCCATGAGAAAACAAAACATTTGAGGAGCAAACATCACAAGCTGGATGTTCATTTTGTGAGAGAAAATGTTCAATCTGGTTTTATTCAGACAGTACATGTCAAGTCTGCTTTGCAGCTTGCAGACATTATGACAAAGCCTTTAGGGGCAGATTTACACAAGTTTATGTGTTTCAAAATTGGTCTAGTTATTCAACCTCCTACTCAAGATTGGGTTTGTAAAGTTCAAGATGTTTCATCTTGAGGGGGGATGTTAAGATATTTGTATTTGTTGTTGCTGACTAGGACAAGTTTGTTACATTATTCCAGCTGTAATATCTTGTATATATGTTGCTCCTCTCATTAATGAAAACTTAACTTTATCTCCAATATTTCTTCCTCTTCTTCTCTCTATATTTCTCTCTGTTTCTCTCTCTAGAATCTGGGTTTCTATCATATACCAATTAACCAATTAATTTGAATGACATTGTATTACAAACACTTTAAAATATGATTACAGTGTTTAATTTGAATGTATTCGTTATTACTACTTCTGATTCTTTGCTCAGTTTTAGTTGCAACAATCTGTTGGATTAAAAAGAGTAAAAACCAAGTTTTTTGGAGGTTGATTAGTTTGCTCCACAAGGAGATTGTGGCCTACAATGTTTGTCCACAAGTGGGTAGTGGAGTGAACTTTTTATGTCTATTTTATAAGGAAAAATCAGCCTACTCCACAAGTAGGTTGTGGCCAACAATGATTGCCCACAAGTGGGTTGTGGAGTAGACTTTTCATGTCATCATACATTTTACTTTTGGCATTCTTTCTTCATCTCTTGGATTCTCTTGTAACCCCTTATTGAATTGGATGTTTATTGTGATTTAATCATCCTTTGTTGTCTAGATTCATCCTCTTGCTCTTAATCTTTCATTATATATTTTCATGATTAAAAATAATGAAAAAAAACACAATTATTAAACACTTTAAGCTAAACACATTCCTCTTTTTGGGCATAAGTTTATATGAATCCAACCTCTCATCCCCAAAAGTGTCTTTTTATGAGAGTGGTGTGTTAACCTTAGGGAACGTGCCGACGAATACAATTGAGCACCACGATTGCGTCGGAATTTTGTTTTCAAGTCAATGATTTGCATCACGACACACCGTATTTGTTCTATTGATATAAATCAACTTTTCAATCTTATTGATTATTTCTTCTTGATAACCTTGTAAATATATCTTATTTTACAACACAATTAGACTAAAATTATGAGAGGTTTTGGTCAAAGTATCACTACTAAGGTAACCATATGAAGATATTGTTATATTGTGGATGTTATGGTGAAAAGTAAACAACTATAAACGGGTAAATGGACTTATGTTTATTTGTAAACTACAAGATATCGACGTCAAGTCAGTGTACAAATTCATATAGAATTTGTGCACAACAAGTCAACAACCAAATTAGAGATGACATTCAAACAGCATAATGACATCAATATGGTATAAGAATTTTCAGCATTTGATGCCAAATAAAGGGAATTGAGACATTACTTCAATAATCACAAACAATAATTATTCTCAGCTATAATGTCAACAAAGGTCTATATTTGAAACTAATAGTTCCTTTCCTTAAGGCATGTTCTGTCCGGCTTAATTTCAGTTCACTTCAGCTCAGGTCCAACCAATTCAGTTCAGTTCCTAATTTCCTTCGCTCATAAACAATTCATTTTAATTCAGTTCCGTTCATTTCAGCTCCAATCAGTTCAGTTTTTTCAATAAATCGGAATAGACCTTTTGTGAGTTAGAAATGTAAGAAATAAGACTTCTTAATAAGACTATATATTGTAATTAGGCAATTAGATACCTACTTTGTCAAGTTGAAATAAAATTACCTACATATGAAATTTCGTAAAGTAAATCTAAGAATACGAAAACTCTAGTCATCCCCATGAGTAGCTCAGGAAAGAACAAAATATTTTTCCTCTAACCTGCTACAATACATAGGCTCTATTCACTTCATCTTAAAAAAAAACATAATATTTAGTAAAATTCATTTAAATTTAGTAAAAACCGGTAATTGTAAAAGAGAAATATATGGAGAAATAGAGAATTAGTAAAAATATTTCATTTCAGCAAAAATAATTTAAGTTTAATAAAGTAATTTTAGTACAACAAAAATAAGGTAAAAAAAACGTGAACATACGTCTAAATTTTTAAATTCCAAGAGTGAGGGTGTGAGGGATAGCTCAAGTGGTTAGAGCTTCCCTCCCGATCCTAGGAGGTCCTGGTATCGATCCTCACCCCCGCCCCTGTAGCTCTCTAAACACACAAAAAAATAAATAAATAAATAAATTCGGGGTGCTAAATTAAAGGGTATGTGCTATGTAGTGTATCATGCTGGTATTAATCACTACAATGCATATCCATCTATCACGATATTCTGTAGTTATTATTTTTTTTTTTTTGAAAAGCTCCAAGAGCATATATTAGATATAAAACTCAGCCAACATCGAGCTTAGCAAGGGAGGCTACCCCTGGCGGAAAGTTATCCACTTACAAATTCTCAATACCATCAGGTGGGTATTGCCTCGCCACGAGGTGAGCAACACAGATTCCCATCCGTTTGATATGAGCACAAACAAAACTATCAAAATCCCTGCTCATTAAACGGATATCATCTATTACAAGGTCTAAAGGAGTCTTGCCTTCTTTTGATGAATTGATCAAATTGGTCATTGTAATGGCATCAGATTCCAACTCCACCTTCCCATACCCAAGCTGACGTGCGACCTAAAGCCCCATCCTAGCAGCCATAGCTTCGAGCACTTTAATAGAAGGCATCCCTGCAATACGCTTCACCTTAGCTGCCACCATAACCCCCTGCTCATCCCTCAATACCATTCCAATACTAGCATTATTTTCGTTGATAACAGCAGCATCAGAATTGATGCGAATAAACACCGCAGAAGGCGGCTTCCATTCATTCCTCGCCACAGCAGTAGGGGAGCTGACCCTCACAACATTGTTGTATTTCTTGTAATCTTTCACTAATCTCAGAAAGCCCAGGACCCTCACATCTCTGTTCTGCCAAGAATTATCAAACACCACTGAGTTACGATACGACCACGTAGCCCACGCAAAGGCAGCAAACTCCAGCAAATCGCTCTTATTCAGTTTTCCTTTCACCCACGTAAATTTGTCAAAGAAACTCTCGCTTGGTGCATCACGAAGCAAGTCAGCAAACGGAGAAAAATCCCACACTTGGCTCACATTTGGGCATAGGAATATCGCATGGACTATGCTTTCTTGTGAATTATGAAACACCCCACACACACCATTATCCCTAACATGTCTTTGTCGCAATCTACCAAGCGTTGCCAAAGATTTCGTACATGCTCTCCACAAAAATTGACACAATTTGGGAGGACCACCATTATTCCATATCGCATTCCAGATTGCAGCCCTATCACCTCTGAAGCGTTCTGTCCAGCCACTCACATGACCCATCCTTGCTAACCAGTAACTTGATTTTGTGGTGGAGTACATTCCATCAGTAGCAGGTGACCAATACATAGAGTTCGAAACATTATTTAAGCTCAACAGAAGTCCCTGCACTATAGCAATATCCTCAGCAATCAAATGTTGATGTAAAGCCTCAACATCCCAGCAATGTCTTTTGTGATCAATTAATTCCGCAACACAAAGATCAGCGGGGCTCTCTACATTCACTGTAGGAATTTTAATCCCACTGTCACTAGGTAGCCAAAAGTCTTCCCATACATTAATCTTTCCACCGTCACCAACCCTCCACTTTAATCCATCCAGTAGGATTGACCAGTGGCGGAGCCAGGATTTTCAACTTGGGGGGACAAAATCGTACACTGAATCTTCCTCTAATGGTACATTACTATTACTTGAACCAGCCATTTCGATACCATTTTCTTGACTTTGAGGGGAGCTTAATGAAGGTGAGTTATTAGACTCATTTTCATTGAGTTTCGGTCAAATCGTCCGCAGGTACATAAACTGCTTGAATCGAAGTTATGGAACCTTCTTTTGTAGAAGTAATTCTTTCCTGTAACGTACCCATTTCGGTACTAAGGGTAGGTTTATAGCCTACAGCGGAAGGCATTCTACCTTTAAACAAGAATTGTCAAGATCGGGTTGTTTAGTTGCCTTGGATTTGTTTGAATTTGGTGAATCTTTTGACATTACCTAATTCAATTGAAAATTATATATCAATTTCCACAACCACATCATTACATAATAACAAAACCTAAGATTCTAATTTCTAAATTTCTAATTCAACTATACATTTCAATCATTTAAATTCACAAAAACAGGGAAAAAAATAATAAACTATAAAACAAATTTTCAATACCAATAATTCAAAGACTAAACATTTCAATTTTCAATAAGTTCAAAACTTCAATACCCACAAATCAACAAATGACAAATCCACAATAATTCTCAATCGAAATTAAACAAGTAATAAGTTGATATATACAACACTTTCATCAATTAAACAAGTAATAAGTTGAAATTCGTCTTCAATACCCACAAACGACAAATCGTCAAATCCACAATAATTCTCAATCGAAATTAAACAAGATTAACAAGTAATAAGTTGATATATACAACAATTTCATCAATTAAACAAGTAATAAGTTGAAATTCAGATTTACATACCTCCATTGATTTGGGTGAATTGGGTTTAGCAAAGACCGGAAGACCAAAGACAGCAAGACACCCGACACCGACACCGCACACCGGCGACACGAACTGTCGTCTGTCGAACTCCAAATCGCGAACTGGTGATTTGGGTGAACAAAACCGGCGACGGGAGCAGGGGCGGAGACAATTAAGGGCGGAAGACCGAAGACAGCAAGACACCCGACACCGCCACTGGATGGGAGAAGACGCGAACGAACCGACAAACGGATGAAGTGCCGCTGACAAGCCTGACTGACTGAGAACTCCAATTCTCCAACTTTCGAACTTCGAAGAGAGAGAAATTGAGAATTGAGAAAGTTGGGGTTTAATTTTGCAATTTCTTTTCTTCTTCTTTCTGTCTCAGCGTGTTTCTTTCAGTTTTTTTTTTAATTATTTTTTCTTTTTTTTTTTTTTTTGAAAATGGGGGGACAAGTGTCCCCACATGTCCCTTAATTGGCTCCGCCCCTGGGATTGACTTCGCACCCCAAATACTCCTCCACACAAAGCTCGGATTGTGGCCCCTGTAAGATGATAAGAAATCACTATTCTTAAAGTATTTAACTTTAAGAACTTTAAAGATGAGGGAGTCTGGATTATTCATGAGTCTCCAACCTTGTTTCGCAAGAAGAGCTTGGTTAAAGGTCTTTAGATCCTTAAAACCCATTCCCCTAGGAGACTTCGGAAGGCAATGCTTTTCCCAACTCAACCAATGCATCTTGCGTTCCGTACCGGACGATCCCCACCAAAACGAGCAATCATAGCATGAATTTCATCAATGAGGGAATCCGGAATATGAAATAACCCCATCATATAAGTAGAGATTGCTTGAGCAACTGCTTTAATCAACACCTCCTTACCGGCTTGAGAGAGCAATTTTTCCTTCCATCCTTGCATTTTCTTCCAAATTCTTTCCTTGAGGCAAGCAAAAACCGCTTTTTTCGACCTTCTGATAATGGTAGGGAGCCCCAAATATTTCTCATGCTTCTCAACTTGTTTGACACCAAGGACCGCTAATATATCCATTCTCCTCATAACATCCACACATTTACTAAATGACACTTCATATTTATCAAAATTAATTTTTTGCCCAGATGCTCTTTCATATATGCCAATAATGTCGGCAATTTTCGAGCATTCCTGAAGTGTAGCTCTAGCAAATAAAATACTATCATCCGCAAATAACAAGTGAGATACTCTAGGAGCACCCCACCAAATTTGCGCTCCAGTAATAAGTCTAGCATTAGCCGCCTTAGACAACAAAGCAGAGAAAGCTTCGGCACATAACAGAAACAAATAAGGAGAAATCGGATCCCCCTATCGTAAACCATGAGTAGGGACTACCTTTCCATCATCCTGCCCATTCCATTTGAATGATTATGACACCGAGGACAAACACATTAACATTTTCTGTATCCATGCCCCACAAAAACCCATACGACACATCACTTTTTCCAAAAAACTCCATTCCACCCTATCATACGCCTTACTCATATAAAGTTTTAATGCCATAGTTCCCGCTCTACCCTCCTTTCTTCTTTTCAGAGCATGGAAAATTTCAAAAGCAACAATAGCATTATCAGTTATCAACCTTCCCGGAACAAAAGCACTCTGATGATGAGAAATAAGACCAGGAAGAATAAATTTTAGACGACTTACAAGGACTTTTGAAAGTATCTTGTAAACAACATTGCATAAACTAATAGGGCGAAACTTAGTCATTTTTTTTTGCTATTGACATTTCGAAATAATCACAATACAGATCTTATTTATTTCACCAAGATCCCCCCATTAATCCACCAATTCTAAATTAAAGCAACAATATCATGCCCAACAATATGACAACATTTTTGGTAAAAGAGAGCATGCATACCATCAACTTCGGGAGCCTTATTCGGGTGCATTTGCATGAGAGCTAGATGGATCTCCTCCGCCGTGGGAAAAGTCATCAGATTTTGATTCATCTCATCCGTCACCAAACAATCGAGCCCTGCAATGGCCTCCTCAAAATCAGAAGGCACAGACGACTCAAAAATGTTAGAAAAATAATCAGATATAATTTCTGAAATTTCCTCTTCATTATCATGCATTTGACCACTATTATCCTCAAGCTCATGAATAAAATTACTTCTTTGTCGATAACTCTCCTTGTGATGGAAATAAGAGGTGTTCTTATCTCCATTCTTCAATTCATTAACCCGGGACCGAGCATGCTAGTATGACTCATCTAGGCGCTGCAATTCATCCAGTTCCTTCACAATCCCCTTACATTGTTCGAGCATAGCCGCGTCGGGGTCTCTACTCTGCTAATCCTGTAACTCTTGCTCTTTCAATGCAATTTTTTTTTTCACATCCCCAAATACATCGCACGCCCATCTGCTTAGCTTAGTTGCACACACAGCTATTTTAGAGTTTATAGGCCTACCCGCATTACATTCCCACGCACTCTTCACTACTGACTGAGTCATGATTCGAAAGCCATAATGACTCAAAGTGGAATCGCTTCTTTCTCCGTCTCTGGCAAGTAATAGCATTTGTCTCAAGTAGTATTGGTGCATGGTCAGAGTAAGAAATTGGATAATGTCGAACAGCAAACCTAGGGAACACAGACCTCCACGCCTCACAAGCCAAAAACCGATCCAAACGTTCTCTCACAATCGTGCTAGGATCATTACCCCCGTACCAAGTAAAAATATTACCTTTGTAACCAAGTTCCTCCAGCCTACACAAATCAATAGTCTCCCTAAACAACTCCATTTTCCTCTCATTTCTTGGAATTCCACCTTGCTTCTCATATTAAAAAAGAATCTCATTAAAATAACCAAAGAAAATTAAGGGAAGTTGTATAGCATTTGTGAGCGACTTCATTAACTCAAAAGTCAGGTGTTTATTTCCATTATCCGGCCACCTGTATATACCAATTGCAGCCCACTTGGGAACATTATTACTATCTCGAATTTCCACTGCAAAATGATGCTCCGAATAGGACAAAGTATATGCGTGAACATCTGTAGACACCCATTTGTGTCTCCCCAAAACCAAACCCGGTAATGAGTACCTTTCACGTCGAATCATAATCGAATGAAGTGAAAGTGTGGAAAGTCCAGTGTTGCGGATAGTTTTAATTTATTTTCTCCTCTCTCTGTTTTTGAAAACCTATTTTAAGAAAACAGTCAATCCAGTTTGGTTTGGTCCGTGGAAAGGGTCCAATAATGGTGTAGTTGGATGGGGCTTGAAAAGAGCTTTCCAACGATATATTATAAGCCCAATTCCGATGAATAATGACGAAGTTATGGCCAAATTACTTAACTGGGCCAGGTTTGATGCTTATATACGGCCCAATGATCCAGAGGAGGGCCTAATGTGGATTTATCATTCCTAATGCAATTAGGATTGATTTTAGTCTTCTATTCTTCTAGAAGGTTCTTTTCATTCCTAATTCAATTAGCATTGATAAATTGACTTTGATTGACTTTTTGGAGTTTTAATCAGAATAAAAGAGTGTTTTTAAGGAAAATACAATTTTGCCCTTCTGTAAGGCTAAATTTTATCTGAATTAAGAGAACGCATGAAAATATTAATTAGCGCCTGACGAAAGACATTAGCGCCTGGCGCTAATGCCTGGCGCCTGGCGCTAATGATCAGCGCCTGGCGCTAACTTCTTTTATCCTCGTCGAAACTCTGAATTGTTTTTCTATCCATTTGGCTGATTTTCTCTATATATAGCCTCCTAAAACCTCCGTTTTTCATCATCAACTCTCTAATTCTCTTCTTTCTCTAAGCTAAAGCTTATTCTCTCTCTCTCTCTTTTCTAAACTAGCCTTCTCTCATGCTAAATTCCGCATTCACAAGACCAAGAAACACCTAACATAATTCGAAGTTGCCTTCGCCCTAGACGTGAAAGGTTTTTAATTTTTGATGGTTTGGTCCTAAATCTTTCTTTCAATTATTAAATTTAATTCTTTGATTTTATATTTTCCTTGAAGTTACTAACGCGTGTATTTTATTATTAGAAAGAGATACGAGGCATCCAAGTAAGTGCTTTAATTGATTTATGGATATTATGATATAGAAATCATGTCTAAGTTGTTATTATGATTCCTAGCGTCATGTTAGGGCGTTTTGATCTTTCTAGTATCATATGTTTAGGGTAATAACTAAAAATTCCTAATATCAAGTATGATTAAAAGTATGATGCTTCCTATTTTCTTTCCTAATATTCATGTTAGTATTATGTTAGGGCTAAATATATATATTTGATCTTTGATGATTTGTGACATGCTAGGTTTGTTATTAATCTTGTTAGTATTATGCCTAGGATTTTGCTATTGTTATGCTTTAACATGATTATTATAATTGTTATGATCATGATTATTATTATAATTATTGTTATGATTATGATTATGTTGCTTGATATTATATTTATCTTTATTGCTTGATCACACATTTTATGCATGTTTAAAGGGAATTGGTACTTGTAATCACGCTTAATAAGATAATTAATAATCTTGTTTAGGGTTAATTTGATTATAATTCAAGTGATCGCCAATAATAGTTTTGTTTGTGCATTAGTATTCAACCAACATAGATAAACAGGTTTAGGGTAAACCTATTGATTACATGTTAGTCAGAAAGCGCACATGAATACGATCAGAATAAAGTAGAGGCTTATTATTAGGGCAGGTTCAATCTCTTTTAGGTTAGATTTTTACCTTCATCCCCGAACTACCAGTCATAGTTCCAGACCTATTGGAGTTAACGCTCTCCTGGATCGTTAAGGGGTGTAACCTTCACCTCGTGAACGGTTTACAAGTTCCTAAAACTTGTTGGCGACTCTTTTGCTCTATCTTCTTTCCCTTTCGACGCCATCGTACTTTAGTGTATGATCACAGTGGAGTTCAAGCTAGGGATAACGCTTGAAATATTCCCTACAAGATCCTTCCACCACAACCCAATTCCACCGGAATTTCCCACACTACTCAAACAAACACCCTTAGAAAGACCATATTTGTTTCTAATAGACTCCAACCTTCTCGCATCGGTCATAGTCTCCATCACGAAAACGATGTTAGGGCTCTCCCTCCAACACCATGTTTGGAGGGCTCAAACTCTCCGGGGATTGCCCAGACCCCGACAGTTCCAATTGAATATTTTTGTTGCTCTTCGGAGGTTTGGCCATTGCCAACACCTCCTACTTGGATGTTGTTGTCCCCAGCCATCACACCATCATACTTAATTTGTTTCTCAAGGCCTTTCCCACTACACTGCTCTTCTATCTCACATGCAACCCTTTTATTACTTGCCATGTCCACCATTGTAGTGTCAAACTCAGCTTGCTTATATCCCCCTTCTCCAGCACATTCCCCTCTTTGAACTATTATTCTTTTCCAACCCGAGCCTCCCTTCTTCCCAAAGTTATTTTCCTTCCTCACAGCCCCCATCACACTAGACATAGCACCTCCCATTGTCACACCACTTTGATTTAATCTGCTAGCTTCAAGGATCCCAATGCCCTGATCAGTCAACCCTTCCCCTTCCAACTCCCCATCAGCTTCCCCTAATAAAAAAATTTGCTGCACCCTTCTTTTGTTATTTTATTCACCATCACATCTTCCCTCTCCCATACTATTGCAGGTCCAAGCACAACCTTCTTTGATCGCTCATCCTCAACCTTTTGTTGATAATATGGTCATATACCGTATATTTTTGGTGCAAAATCAGGATACTGATATACTATGATAGATATGCGTTATTGGGAATAGTTTTATTATGGAATAATGAATAAATAATTACTCTATCCTCTTCGCATTGCTTAGCTCATAGTTTTTAAAAAATTATAAACTAAGGTCGTATTTGGGGAAAAGCTGAAAGGTAAAGCTAATTGTGTTAGCTGATTTTAACTAGCATTTTCTTATTTATTAGCTTTATTATAGAAAAGTATGGTAAATAGTTAATTGTTTAAAGCTGATTGATTATGTGAAATGACTAATAAGTTAATTGTGGGGTAGATAGATCATATAAGATTTTTAATTAAATGGGGGTATAAGTGTTATTTCACCATAAGAATTGAATAAGCTAAGCTTATTTATGGGAATAAGCTCTTTAAATAAGCTTCCCACCAAACACCTTGAATTAGCTTATTTAACAGTTAATAAGCTAATGTTGATAAAATAAGATAGTTACCAAACACAGCCTAGGTTTATAGGCTTATAATATAAAGTATTGTTAGTAAGAGATAAAAATAATAAAAATAAATAAAAAATAAATAAAATAAAATAAATAAATAAATAAATAAATGAAAAAAGTAGTGTGGGTGGGGTTGGTAGGAGAAAGATATAATAAAATATTTGTGAAAGTGGGGTTTGTAGGAGAGAGAAATTATAAAATAATGGTGGATCATTTCCAAATATAGCAGTATTGCAACTAGTATGAAACGTACGAAAATAAAAAGTGTTGTAACTAATGCGAAACAAAGGGAGTAATGTACGTAAAATATTCTACTTATATGCATTAGGCAAGCTATAGTTTAAATTTTATGAGCTTTATATGAATTATTTTTAAACTATGCATAGCATGGGCATTATACTTACTCTTTTTATTATTATTATTAATATAGCAATGGTTCCCCAAAAAGTTGATTCTCAATTCTGTTTATTGTTTTTTTTTTAAAAAAAAAATAAAAATTAAATGACCCTATTTTTTCAAATTCCAATCCCAAACAA